ATGGCAGAAATTTCAAAAGGTTAGAAAATCTGCCACTTCAATCCACAAGAACTATTGTTTTTTGATCTTTGATTCAAATTTTGTTGTTTTATAGACAATCAGTAATGGTTTACAACACTAAAGCACCAAAAAGGCCAAAAAATGGCAAGGAAATCGAATAAAAAAAGCAAGAAAATTTGATTCACAAGTCCTGCTGCAAATAACGGGCTGCATTTCAAAAAACGACCGTTATTTCGTTTTGTCCGTTTTTTGCCAAAAAAACACCGTTTTAACATAAAACCGGTTTTGTTAGATCAAAATCGGCTGGTTAAGACGTAAATACGGCCAGTTCGACCCCTAACCGGCCGGTTTTAGTCCGGCCATTTTTTGGGGTGATACCCTAGGTCCTTAGAACCCCAAAACTGCCCCTAACCGGACTCGGAACCCTAGCGGTTCCGAGCTAGCCGGCCAGTTTTTCTAATAGTGCAAGAGACAATAAAACAAATTTCTGAACTATAGATATCAATATCACTCCTAGTGACACAAGTTATAGTGATAAAAGATCCGAATCACAAAAACCTATTTAGCAAGTATCCAAAAGAAGAAGTACTCATTTAATCTGTAAATGGCGCTATTTATGAAATGTTTCATTGAAAGAATACACAGAATTAGAATAGAGAAATATTCAAATAAATAAATATTCAGGATTTAAAAGTATATATATTAAAAGAATTAAAATATGCAATTATCAATTAAATAAATAGGAAAGGTCTATTAAGTAAGGGATTAAAATATTCAATTATCAATTAAATAAATAGGAAAGGTCTCTTAAGTAAGGGATTCAAGGGACCTTGAGATACCTAAGTTTCAATCTCTCTCCTCCATTCTCCAATCCACCTTCCTACCTCTCGCGGGACACAGCAGATTGATTAGATCCCCCGACCCATCCGGCCTCTTCTCGGTCAAGTCATTCTTACAACCCCCCTACAGCTGCCACTCACCATTCCGCAGTTGCCAAGGCTTGGTTTCCTTTGGTACCTCCCAAGGTTCAATTCTTCAACTGGATAACCTTCCTCGAGAGAACCCTCATTATCGACCAGTTACAAAGAAGAGGCCTTCAGTTACCCAACAGATGGACTATGTCTCTGGAGGAATAGGAGACAAATGCCCACCTTTCCATCCATTGCTCCACGGCTACCAAAACCAACCTCTAGGGACTCCTCCAACTTTTTGGTTGGTCCTGGGTGACCTCCTTCATCCATCCCCCAATTGGTAGATACCTTTGGCGTGCAGCAGTCACGGCTGCCCTCTGGGTCATCTGGTTAGAGCACAACAATCGAATTTTTAGAGGGGAGAAGCTTCACCTTATGGTGCTTTTCGACAAAGTAAAAAGCTCTTGTAACCTGTTGGGCCAAGAACCATAAGATCTTCAAGTACCACCCGCTTTCAGACTTACAAATTAATTGGACAAACCTGCTCTCTACAAGAACAGCCCAAATTGCTTGCTCCTCCCTTTGGAGACCGCCTGAGCAGGGCGCAATCAAACTAATCTTTGATGGGTGCTCTCTTGGCAATCCAGGCCCCGCAGGTCTTGGCTCAATCTTTAGAGGCGCCAGGGAAGATACGCTTCTATCCTACTCAATCTTTGCCGGCACAATGAATGCTACGTAGCCGAAGCACGAACCCTACTCGTGGGCCTTCGCCACTTTGACACCTCGTAGGGGGATACGCTGATTGTAGAGGGGGTTTCGAAGAATGTGATAGCGTGGGCCTCTGAAACTTCGCAGAGACCTTGGAGATTGGCTCATAGTGTTTATGAGATCTTCCATCTTTGTAGGGATACACGCATGGTTTGGCGGCATACCTGTAGGGATGCCAATGCCATGATATCCGCCTTGCTAAGGAAGGCCTTCCAGACTAATTTGCAGGAGACCTTCGAGCACCTTTATGAGAACTAAATAGAACACACTGTTTACATATACTTGTATACTGTATAGCTTGCAAAACACTTTTTTGGGACCCCATAAGGGTTTTTTTTATTCTTGAACACCTTCCCTGCTGGTGGTTCATTCTTTTTTCTATAACCCTCATATCAATACAGTTACCAGTTTCATAAAAAAAATTAAAAAAAGAGAGGTATGTTGGCATTTAGAAAGAGATTTCAATATCTCCTGATGGGTGTTTGTGAAGAATACAGGGTTTGAGAAAGACAGGGTAGAGGAGGGCTAGAAGGAAGGGCTTTGAACATTTCATAGGGACATACGAGCTCATGGGGATCCCACTAGTTGGGGCAAAGTATATTTAGTCTAACCACATTGAAGATAGGCCAGTAATGACTAAAACTACGTAGATTCATTGTTACCCTGGAATGGAAAGCTGAGCACCAAAAGATGCCATGGTTTTGCGATGGCCAAAACCAGTTTCTGACAGTCTGACTGCATACCAATCATTCTGGATTCATATACAGCCATGGCAGGAACTAAACCATTGTGTTCCAAACTGATGTAGTGAGAGAATAAAGAGTTACCAAAACCTATAAGGGAATGATGGATGTTATTCTCTGCGAAAGAGCGAGCTGGGTATAGAATATGCCAGAAACAAATGCTGCTAAAAGATAAGCTGTGGAACTGGAACCGGAAGTGTTTGGGGAATCTACACATAAGGAAGCCTCCTTGATGAATTGAGAGGCTTGATAAGGTAGATGAGGAAAGAATTTTAAATAGCAGAGGAAAGAGCAGAAACGGTGCAAGCCAAGACTCAATTTCAGGAATGTCTCAAAGAATAGAAGAATTAACGGCAGCAAAGGTCTCTGCATAAGGTCGTTCAAGGATGGAGATAAAAATACAAACTCTTCCGCTCAATGGCAAGTCAGAGAGGATGTATTCGAAGCATCCAGGTTGGTGGAAAAGGATTTGAAGAAGGTGAAGAAACTGAAGAAGGTGAAGAAACTGAAAGAGCCATAAGTGAATATTTAAGACAACACTTCACAACAATGAAGAGGATAACCAGGAATCTACCCAGAATACCTTTCAAGAAGTTGTGGCTGGAATGATCATTCCAAATCAAAGAAATACAGGAGGCAGTCTTTGGCCATGGTAGGGACAAGGCGCCGAAGCTAGATGCATATTCTTTGGTCTTCTTAAAAGTGTTTTGGGATATGATTAACGATGAATTAGTTTGTACATCCAATGAATAAGATATGAGAGGCATGATACACATATGGATGAACTCATCTTTCATCACATTGATTCCCAAAGAAAAGGGGTTACAGGATATTAAGGATCTAAGACCCACAGGTCCCCCGGGAAGTGTGTATGAGATTATTGCGGAAGTATCAGCAATATCTTGAGGCAGAAATTTCCCGGAGTCATCTACAAGTTGGACCTCATAAAAGCCCACAACCACGTGTGTTGGGAGATCTTGGACCAAGGGCCTTATGGTGTTTGGCCATCCACGAAGGAATTGGAAACTGGCCTGTCAGTGCTATTTAATTGTACTCCAAAGGGGTATTTCTCAAGTTCATGAGGCTTAAGGTAGGGGGAACGCTCTGACTCGTTTCCTATTCACTATAATTGTTGAAGCTTTCTGAAGGAGTGTTTGATGGTGTATAACAAGTACGTCCGCTAACTGGTTTTGACACATCCTATTACAACTCATCTGCAATATGCATATGACACTTTAATTTTTTGCAATCTGATCTCATGAGAAAATGACCAAACTTTGGCTTGGCTTTTCTAAAACTTTTTCTGGGCATGTTAGTTACACCAAAAAACTATACTTATGGGAGTGTTGATCCCGGAGAGGGCAATGTTATCAGATTCTCTTCGCTTCGGTGAAAGAGGCCGAAGCCTTCAAATTTTCAGCCTAAACCGAAGCGAAGTGAAGTTCCAGTGCATCTACTTCAAGCCGCTTCGGTCTGATTCGGTCTCTTCGGCCGAAGCACAGAATTGTCTTTTAAAAAGACAATTACGTGATTCAGCCCACTTCAGTCTAATTCGGCCTCTTTGGCCAAAGCTCATAATTGTCTTCTTCTTCTTTTTTTGAATTTTTTATTTTTGAATTTTTTATTATTTTAATTTTTTTAAAAGGCTATTGTTTTAATATATTTTTATATATAAATATATACTTTATTTAGATTAACATTTTTAAAAATTCCGAAGTCTTCCTCTGAAACGGCCGAAGCACCAAATTGCTTCGTTTTTCTGACCAAACCAAAGAAAACTCCAAAGCGAATTGACAACCATGGGACGAAGAGCTGCTACACTTCACTAAGGTTGTTACCTGTGGAGTGGAAAGTCTCCTAAGCCAACATCTCTGGCTACCCTTGTGTACTGGCAAGCCCTATAAAGCTGATGGACAGAATCATAAAAAACATTGATAGGATCCCAAGCCAATATTTTAGATAGCCTTGTGTGCTAGCAAGCCCCCTAAAGCTGCTTGCGTCCATTTTGTAAATACTTTTGACATCAACTGGTTCGTACTTGAAACCGTTGAGCCCCATTCTCACAATGGTAGACCCCACCTATGCCCAGTAGGGGAGTGACTCTACAGAAACTTACCTTGCCAATCTGGATTGGAACAAATGCAAGAGTTTTCAATGCAAGACAACATTCAAAACATGTACAATATCACTGGGATAAAATCAAACATCCTATCACAGGCAAGGGAGCATGACGAATATTTTCGATACTCAACGCAGAAATTTGAGCTGAATAGAAATTGTAGGGGCTTCTGAGAATGCAATTCATTGGGAGAGTAGAAATGGCGCTTGGCAGATGCTTTTGATGAAATTTCCAAGTACAGGACCTCACTCAACCATATATGGAGGGAGGCCAATGAGAAGGCTGATCATTTGGCAATAGACAGAGTTTCGAAGACCAATTTAGTTACACATTTTGGTGTTCTGATTCTCTTTTGGAAGAACAAATTGTATAGGAAGTCTACTTGTGTATCTCATTTTTTTAAAGGAAAGTACAGCTAATGATAAAAAAAAATGTAAAGATAAAGGAATATATGCTCACCAGCAGCTTCTGTTGCATGAGTTCCAGGAGCAACTCTAATATCCACCTGAATAAAATGGAAGAAGGTGAAAACATTATTCAGAGTTAAGACATCAGAGCATTTGCATAAGAGTACCTAATCTTCATGACAAATCATGACGCCCAAGTTTGACTTCAAGACAGATGACCAAATTAACGTAAATTACTGAGGAACACAAGAAATTTTCAATGCTATGAGGTTACTATTCTTTCATAAATAACAGAAATAAGCATCCTAATTTTCTTCTCTTCTAACTATTTTCTTCTTTTATGAGTAATATTTTTTATTTTGATAAGTAATTTGTTGTTTATTCATTGGCATTTGTGCACTTCTATTGTGTGGCAATGTAACTTAAACTGTCCTGTCAACTATTATCGTGACAAAAGAAATGAATATTAGTTGGGAGTTGGGAAGCCTCAACTCCTGTAAATATGATTTCTCATCTTGTACACACCTTTGCTTTAAAAGTTCCTCCTATTATAATGAACCATGAAAACCAATGACACACATGCAAAGTATTGTAAGCATACAAGGCATTGGTCCTCTTCTATTATTTGGCTAGGCCATTAACTCTCCATTCAAATATATAATGATAAAAGCAATAGATATTAGTTATTTAGTTGGGAGTCAGCTTTTTTTTTTTGGAACAATCTTGTAAACACCTTGCTTTACAAGGTCCTATTGTCATGAACCACAAAAACCAATGAAACACATCCAAAGAACTGTAAGCATATATCAAAGATATTTCTAGAAAGGTATGACCATATACTGCAGTTAATGACCCCTCTCGACTTTTTCGTGAATCACTATTAATGACCCCTCTTGTCATTTGAAATTGTAGGCCTCCTCCCTCTCCCTCACCCTTGTAGACCTCCTCCCTCTTCTTTGCCCTTTCCCTCCCTCTCTCCTCGAACATTTTATTTCTGTGAATGTGTGAGCAATTATGTGCATGGGCACAGGTTTGCACACACACACAAACACACAGTTATCACAAGATCTTCAAAACATTGCAAAATACAAAACATATTTATGTTGATTGAAAACTCCGAAATAACATCACAAGACATTCTATACTTGTCAGATAACTTATTCGGAGAAGAATCTGACTGCTGTCAATAACTGTTCCAAGCACTAGGCAAGCCAAAGTAAGACCCTTGCAAATGGAACCATCTAATACGCAAAAAGAAACACATATAGGGCCCATGAAAGGTATTAGATTTGGCGAAATCCATAGTGCTACATCAGATTAATCTGAGTTATGAAATGCCAAGTTTAATAGCTTCATGCAGAAGCATCATTGACTGTGAATCACCCAGGAAAGTGGCCTGGTATGTAGGTGAAATCCCAAGGCCCAAAGCATCAAATAGTTTTGGGCACCAACACCTTTCACACCACTATTTCCTTGCACACATACCCTTACCCACCCCACTTTTCCCTCAATACTATAAGACTACTATCCCTTAATTTGAGAGACAGAATAATTTTAGGGGAGTGTTTGTCAACAAAGCCAGCACACTTTCCCTTCCCATCGGTCTATAATCAACTAGTTGTGCCCTGTAAATTGCATTCAGCTTGAATTAAGTCAGGCCTAATATCTAGCCAACTCCCAAATGCACCAAAATTCATTCTGTATTTTGATCAGGTGGACCACTACATCATAGTCATAAACCACAATATGGCACTCAAATATTGTAGTTAAATTAATACAATCTGCCATCTACATATCTAACAGGCCCTAAAGTTTTGAAGGCAAGAAGATGTTGTTTTTCTCTCCATTGTCCTTCCCAGACCTCAACGCCATAGCATAAACCCCTCAAAAACCTTTAGAGGTATTCCATCAATTGAACCTTTTTTCATTCACCCCCCAATGATACCCTCTAGTCTGACCTTTACTTATATTTAGTTTCCCCAGCCGATTAACTTCTCTCCTAGATCATATTCCATCCTTCTCGCCCCTTATCCATGCATTCCTTCTATTTAGAATTTTCCCAATATCCATTTCCTCATCCCCACTGCCTTCGTTTTTCACCCCTCCCCCTCTTCTTAACCAATTTGGACCATTCTACTCTATGAATTCAGCATTGACAACAGTTTTAGCTAAAAAAGTAAGACTGGGAACACAAGGCTCTAATATAAGCATCTTATAGAACGGAATGAATAAAACCATGAACTGTAAAAAGATGTGAACTTCACAAGGAAAAGAGTAATCTCCCAAAATGCAGTTTGTATGTTTTCCCACAAAATGATCAGTTAAGAAACCAAATCTAACAGAACTAAATATGACCTTGAAGGTTTAATTATATGCATGAAAGCACTAAAGATATTTATGCCATTGAGTGTCCAATGGCATAAATAAGATATTTACACCACGGCATATAGAGCAACAACTAGACATGCATCAGTAAGTGAGATTAAACTGTATCTCATTAATGATCATGATAGCAAGGAATAGAAGGCCATAATATCATACCTTATAACGTGAAGGCAAGCTACGCATAAGTTTCACACGTAAACAAAGCCCAATCACTGTGGCCATACTACAGTGCTCAACTGTAGGAGTGAATGTGATCCTAAGTCAGACAGAACAAATTATATATCAGCAGTTTGAAAATGAATAAGAGCATCGTGAAAATGTAATATTCTGTAGGCTAACCTGACATAGTTATGCTCATCATCGAGTTCAATCGCATCTTCAGACACCACTTTGAGCTCTTCCAAGGAATATGGATGCTCAGGATCTTTTATATCTCTAACATGATGTAAGATTGTTAAGGAAAACAAGAACTTCACAAGAGTGACACTGACATGCAAAACCGGTAGTAATTAACAAGCCTTTTTTCAATTGTAATGTCAAGAAGTACGACAGATTATCATAAGGAACACATCATAATACTCTGAAAATCAAGCTAAATAACATCAATACAGATAATAACTAAATCATTATTAGGACCATATACTACAAGAGCACCTGCACATAATTAGGACATTTTTTCTTAAGTACTTGGTGCATCTTCTTTAAAACCTGACAATTAAATTAAAATATCTGATGTAAGCATTGTGTTCCTCCAGTGACAAAACAAATAGAGGTGATTACTAGTAGCCCAAGCTAAAGAGTTCAAAAACTTAGGCCAAGCTTTGCCAAAAGCCTTCTACCTCGTCTGCTCAATTCCTTGTTTTTTTTATGAAAATCTGTCATAATTATCTTTGGTGCCCCAACATTGAATGTTTGTTATTGCTTTAAGATTAGATGCTTCATTAATACAACATAGTATTTTTCACATTTAGCAAGTGTATAAGCTTGATTACATAATGTTGTAAAAAACAAGATATTTACTAAAATCCCACTAACATGATGCAGGCACCATACTGATTCTCAGAAAATCAAAACTTTTAAGTAAAAAAAAACCATCTTTTCACTTATTTTGGTTGGTAAAATACAACCACCATCACTAGGCACATAATTGAAATATTTACCAAGAGAGACAAGCCAAAGAGAAATAGAAATATGGTGATTTCTTTGAGGATAAGTTAGCAGTAGATGTCGAGCCCGGCACATAGTACCGCAAAACACATAATGGTGCTGCTTGGGATAAAAATGTTTATACCATTTTCTTTTTATTTTGTATAAAACAAGTAGGAAAGTTCATCAAGTTGCACAAAGCATACAACCAAAGAGTAATTGTATTACCTTTTGCACAAAGATAATATGAAAAGATACAACAGATCGTTGTCAACACATGTGGATAGAGCACAATCGAAGACAAGGGGATGCTCATAAAAAGGGAGCTCAGTTGAAGAGGTTTAAGTAAGGACTTGCCATCAAGGATATGAGTGAGCATCCTAGATTACATGATTTGGAACAATATGTCAGCGAAAACTTGTATGTTCATTTTAGAAAAAAATAATGAGAAGTAACCATGGTCTTTCAAACAAATACCAATTCTTTGGCTCTACCATCCCCTTGCCTTGCTCTCTGAAGAATACAATCACATTGTCTAATGAATAGCTCCACCTTCCAAAGGATAGTCGTGCAGGCATGTTCATGTCGTGTTACTTGTCACCTCCAAATCAAAGTGAAAATGTTTTAACTTGTTGATTGTGTGTAGGTTAGCGTGGGATTTGAACATGGATCTGCGATGTGCAACGCCCAGGCCCTTGAAGCCTGGAGCATGTTGAGGGAGGTATATAGCTACCATTTCACCCTAATTTTTTATAGTTTAAAGACATCCCATCTTAACTAGGCCAAGTCAAATCAATGCATGAGTCATAACAACCAAATCTTATAAAAAATGTCACTGTAAAATAGAAGACATAGGTAACTTCTTTGTAAGTTTGGCCTTTGGAACATTGATGTCCTGAAGTATGGTGTGGAAGGCAACAAGGGTCTTTATCTGGGGCCAAAGTAATTGCAACAAAGTCAGCTGATTCAATCCTACTTCTTAATCCTCAAGCACTAACATAAGGAAATGGCAGTATACCAAACAATAAAAATACCATATACCCAATATATAAAAATGACCATGGGTTAATATCAAAGCTAAATAACTAAACAGGAACTTGTGTTTCCTTATCAAAATTGCATATTATAATAACACACAAAAACTTACCTGAAAGAGAGAAAAACACATGAAATGTACTGTCATCACAACTTTGATTACAGAACTGTAATATTCAATAAATAATGGGAAAGAAAAGATAAATAAATGAATATATGAACAATTGTGTCGATATATAAATGAATATATGAATTATTGAAGAAAGGATATCAAAAATTTCCTGCACTGTAATCACAACTTTGATTACAGAACTATAATATTCAATAAATAATGGGAAGGAAAAGATAAATAAATGAATATATGAACAACTGTGTCGATATATGAATTATTGAAGAAAGGATATCAAAAATTTCCTGCTGGTCTATAGGTTCGACAGCATATTCATCTTTATCAGCTGGTTGACTCCGAACACGCCTCTCTTTTTTCTCATAAACGACTGGGTTTGCATTGATCAACCCGGAAACCATCTCTATTGCTTATTATTTGAATATCGATGACCCAGATATGATTAAACTGCAAACAAGTTTTGGATAATACTAAATTAATACTTTATTGAACTGCAAACAAGTTTTGGATAGTACTAAACAAATCCTCTATGACAGATTACAGAGTCCAATAGTAAAAAGTACAAAAGAAACTTGTCATAACAGTCAATAGATATAATTATGGAACTCTCAAACTGAATAAGGATCGTTTATAGCTGAAAAGGATTTTTCAAGTAAACAAGTATGTAATAAATGACGAAAATTTGCAACTAAAACACCCAGTACATAAACATACAGTGATTATATATTAACTGGTAAATGGTGACAAGTTCTTGCTTGGATTTGGCATCATTAAATTAGTACGGTATTATAAAAAAAATCAAACGCAAACAAATTTATTAGCAAACACAAGTGGAACATAAGAAACCAATTACTATAATTGATTCTCACTCGATTTCGCCCAATCTGAAAAGCAAAGGGAAATTTGTAAAGAAAAATAAAAGCACCTTACGTGTTATTATTTGCAGAGAAATCCTCAAACAAAGGACCTGTCCTCAAACAGGAATCAAAGGAGTTGTCTGCCCAATAGTCACCGGAAAAACTTTGAAGCCGCCTGAAAATGGACGCGATTTAAGAAATTAATGTGCTCCAGGTATGGACGTTTTCTGGCGTTAAAAAACAATTGATAAATAAATATAATGTCGCCAACAAGCCCGCGAAAATGTGACTGGGTTTCTAATCGGAGTGATTTTACAATGTCGGCGGACTTTGTTTTTCTTTTTTTTCATCTCCATATATCCCGATATCGAGATAGTCAATTATATGGTTTTTCAATTTCAAAAAGAGCCTTTTTCAATATACTTTTGAGGTGCACGTTAAAATTTTATATAATTTAAGACGTCAACCTTATATAAATTTTTTCCATTAAAAATTAACACATTTGAAACTCATTGGTTCTTCTATGCATGTTTAGTTCTCGTGAAAAAATTATCTCATGCAGTCAATTGTGAGAATATTTTCACATCAATTAGACTTAAAAATTCTCTCATGCAGTAAGTGTTGGAATATCTTCATACTAATTGGACTTAGTGCATATTTTCACACCAATTGGTAACTAATTGATGTAAAAATATTCCCACATTTGATTACTCCAATTGGCAACAAATTGATGTAAAAATATTCCTACACTTGATTGAGATTTTTTTTATATAAAAATATTTTCACGCGAATCAAACGTCCCAAGTACATATTCATGCTACAAAAGTAGAAATGCATTTGTAATTATGTGGTATAGGTTTCAATCCCATGAAAATGAAGTGGGCCTCATGAAGAACGGACCCAATAAGATTTATGGTTGACATATCATCCTTGATGATTTGTCTCCTTGATGACTTGCCCTCCTTGAGTTCTCCCTCTCTCCTTCATCTACAGTAGAGTTTAAACCTAACACCCCATCCCTAAATCTATTGAATATTTCCTTTTAAGGGTGTGTACATAAGTATTGAGAGAATATCACCATAAAAAGAAGGCCTGCATGATTTTTCTAGGAAAGAGAGAGCAAACAAGATGTTGAAACCAATTCCCACCTATTTTTTACTTGTCCCTATGTATATGCTGTATAGGAATGGAGCAAAAATTTGTCTTTTTGGAACCAGGTTGTCAACGATAGGATTCAAGATTTCTTCCGGCATAGCCGAAATCTACCATATCCAAAGAGTGGCAGACAACTTTTGGAGGATAATTGTGACATCTATTTATTGGAATCTGTGGAAAGAGCGAAATACAAGAATTCTTTTAGAACAAAGCAAATGATGTTAGGCAGGTAATTCACATTATCATTGTCCATGTGCTACAATAGGCAAAATATTTGCCGGAATTTAGGGACCCTCCAAAGGAGTTATTTTTTAACCATTTGTGATACTTGTTGTTCAAGAGAAGTGTTAGAGAAGTAAATAACTCACTTTGGTACCCCTCAAACGAGTGGTATTAGCTCAATTTTGATAGAAGCTTTAGGCGGTGAGGCTCAAAGAGCAAGTTACATAGGTTTGTTGAGAGATAGTCAAGGAAACATAATCGGGACGTACAATGAGACCCTGCAGAGATGTGATATCAATGAGGCCGAGCTTTGGGCTTTGAAGGAAGGGGTAGTCAAGCTCACAACAAGTCAGTGGTGCATTATAGTGGAAGGTGATTGTACTAATCTATTTACATGGTGCAATAAATCCTCAGCCACACCTTGGTGTTGGGCTCCCTTGATGGATCAAATTTTTTTATATCTCGGTCATATTACTGCATGTTAATCGTGAAAGAAACTTTGAAGCTGATGCTCTAGCAAGGGATGGCATTCAAGGAAATAAGAAAGGCCTTTACCTTATTGTCGCTTAATTTTTTTCCTCCTCTACTGTCAATCTTTCTTTCTTCCATTTTCTTCTTCTTCCTTCACCACTCTCTGGCTTTCATTTTTTTTCCTATTCTCATTTCTTTCTTCTCCTTCTCCTCTCCTTTTCTTCTTTTTTGGTTGTCTTATTATTTGTACTTTCTTTTATTCTCACAATGAAATTCTTGCTTAATGTTTTTTTAAAAAAAACAGAAAGAGAGACATTGCTCTGCTTTTTATTTTATCTTCTCGATAGCCTTGTGTGAATAAGCGAGTGTAGCACCCTATCATCATTATTTTTACTTTTTTTTACTTTCAAAGGCTATTCTCTCTCTAAAAATAAATCCTATGCTTTTTTCAAAATACACCAAAACCAACTACGGCCTTTTGTCTCTCTATAAAATAAAATGGACATTGTTTCTACGAGTTCTAAGATCTGGACCTGATTTTTAAGGAATATATAATCTTTAATATGGAGATCATGTATAGGTAAAAAAAAAAACTTAAAACCTAAAAATGATAAAAAAATTTGAGAGATAAAAATGATAATTTTATGAAGAAGATATTTAGACTATTGGTTCTATAACTTCTTGTTTTTTTTTGCAAGAACCATCCATTTGCATCCATCTTTGAAATGGATGTTTTATGCCTTAGTAGTGTAAATGTAGAAATGTGTCCTCCCATGTATACAACTATTTTCCAAATAAAATTGGTCCTCATAAGTATGCATTTTTCCTCTTCGAGCAAATTTAAAAGAAATGGATCGGTTACCTGAATCAGCTACCCTAAAAACCGGGTCAGATTGGCAGATTGGTGATTCTGATAAAAGAATCGGCGGGATTGGCAGGTTTCAGCCTTAAATTTTAAAAAAAATATTGAAATTCTTAAAAATCAAGTTTCTTATGTTTCCAAATAAATTGGGGTATTACATTGTAGATTTTGATTCTTTCATCGAAAATATGTAAGTCTTGAGAATATGTTTCATGTCTGAGTGTTTGTTGACCATTGCATCCATTTCATATTCAAAATGAAATGAATCTCTCTTACTCAGTTTTTTTTTTTGTATTTTGTATAATATCCTTTACCACTTGTGCTTGTAAATAGAGGGTTCTTGCCTAATTATTTATTATTTTCCCTTTTTAAAAGTTAATTTATTATTTTTGGCCAAAATAGGTAAAAATAATTAGAAATCACACAAAAAATTAAATCTTAAATTAATAATATACGCAATACAAGAGTACTAAATATATAATAGAATATTATTTAAATTTATTTTAGATAAGGTTGTCTATTCAAAATAAAATTAATTATCGCCCATGTCCCAAAGGAAGCTCTCAAATAATTAATATTGCACCAAAGTTAATTTAAAACATTAAACGTTTAGAGTTTTGTGGCACCTTTATGTCAAAAATAATAAATTGGAATTCTTTTGGAAATTTTTCGATTAGATATTGATCTAATAATTTATAACTCACAATTTATTGTCCATGGGTTTTATTTAGGGGAAATATCTCCATACCCCCTATTTTTAAGTTTCATTTCACAATACACCCAAGGTTTTAAAAGATATCTTGGGACATAAAAATTGTAGATTTTATTTCTTCTACCTCTAAGCTAATTGTGCATGTTTTTTTAGGCCAAACAAATCTAAAAAGACATGTCTTTTCTAAAAGCCATTATCCCAAAGTTCTAGAGAGAGAAGGGTTTCTTGGAGGTGAGAAGTGAGGTCATCAGGAGGAGAGAGAGAGGTGTTTGGAGAAACACGGGAGGAGAGAGAGATTGAGAGGCGGGAAGAGAGAGAAAGAGAGAAGTTTGGGGTATATAAGTGAAGAGAGAGAAATGATTGGGTTTAAAAAGAGCATGTTTTCTCACATTTGTTTAAAGTGGCCAGGGGGCTAGAAGATATATTTTGAAATATTGGGTTTATCAAGAAATGAAACCTAAATATATGAGATATAGAGATATTTTCCCTTTTATTTATCCTAATTTGAAGATAAAACATTGATTAATAACCTTTATTCCAACTCATTGAATCAACTCTTCAACCATTGTTTGTTCCAACATTTATGCAATCAATCAAACACCATTTAATCAACTCTTCAATCATTATTTATCCCAACACAAGGCTACAGACTTTGAGAACTCAAGTGATGACTTGAGTAGGCTCAGCATGAGGAGACACTCTAAGATAAAGTTGGAGCAATGGTCAAAGGCATCTAGTTTTCCATGGGTGCAACATTTTCAACCAGTGAGACGTGTGCTGCAATGAATCACCTCAGCCCTTGGTAGGGAGAAGAGAGGCAATTTCTCATATGCATTTCTCGATATGTGATGAGGTTACTACGAGACCTAATAAATCATAAAAAATATATTTCAATGAATATCTTTAGGGAGGAAATCCCATGTACTTGTACAAGAGTTGGAACGCGTATGTATGAGGTGTTGCCAACAAAATAGGGACTTGATACAGCTACACCAAAGAGATTTGTTACAACTACGAAGAACAAATCTTATCTTATCATAACATGTTAGGAGTTATATGTATAAGACGTTAGGAGTTATCTTATTTAGTCTTATTTTTAACGTATTTTCTTACACTCCCCCTTAAACTGATGGGGTTATAACAACATCAGTTTGCTCATCAAATAGTTGTGGCGCCCTTTAGGCATGGTCTTAGTGAAAATATCAGCAATATGATCCTTCAAAGGGATTTGAGGAAGTGTTATTTTTCCCCGTTCAAACTTTTCCCGTACAAAATGACAATCTAACTCAATATTCTTCGTTCTTTCATGGAAGATGGGGTTACTCGCAATTTTCACTGCGCTTTCATGCTCTTAATACTAAGAGATCAGTGAATGGCCAAGAAATACACAATACCTGGTAGTAGAACAACGTGTATCAAGGCAACCAACATAATCGGCATCAAAGTATGCCCTTAATACTAAGGACGAATATTGGTCATATAAAAGAGCTACGTCAGTCATGAATCCAAGATACCAAATAATGCGATGAACAGTAGTAAGATTGAGTCTTCGAGGATCTGAAACAAATTGACTGACAAACTGAACGGCATGAGCTATATCTGGTCGTGTAACAGTAAGATAGACTAAGCTACCAACAATCATCCTATACAAATCAGATCAGCTATGGGGTCGCTATCAGTCTTGCTATATTTGACATTTTGTTCTAATAGTGTGTCCATTTGCATATCATCTGTGAGTTTGACCATTGCTATGAGGTCCTTGGTGTATTTTCTTTGATTAACCAGATACCTTATTAGTGTTTGTGAGATTTCCAATCCTAAGAAATAGGTAATATGACCCAAAATCTTCATTTGGAAAGAATTTTGGAGGACCATTTTTAATAATAGTATACCTTGATGATCATATCTTGTAATTAATATACTATCAAGATAGATTACGACGAAGACACTCCCATTGGAAGTGGATGAACTGAACTGAGAGTAATCATTGCTACTTTGTAGGTAGCCTGCACCTTGAAGGGTGCTATTTAACTTTGCAAACCACGCGCGTGGTGCTTGTTTTAACGCATAGATGGCCTTTTGTAATCATTTTGGCAATTGGAGCAACAGTCTCATCATAGTCGAGGTCGTATTCTTGATTATAGCCCTTTGCCACAAACCGAGCTTTATAGCGATCCAGTGTTCCGCCTGACTTTAATTTTACATTATCCATTTGCTCCCTACCACAATATGGCCTCGGGGAAGTGGGACAAAATCCCAAGTGTTACTAGTTTTTAATACCTCAAGTTATATCTGCATAGCTTGACTCCACTCAGCATTGTCAGCTACCTGTTTGTAAAAACTAGGAATACACGATGGTTCAAGTGTAGAAGTTAAAGAAAGATGAATAAGTGGTTTAGGAACTCGAGTGGAGCATCATAATGGCAATGAGGTAGGGGGACGAAGTGGTGGTGTAGTGACAGTATCTGGTCCCGGAGATGGTGGTAGAGGCACAATCAAGGAAGCTCTTGCTTGTACTTCAAGCTATTGTAACATGTCAATAAATGAAGAAAAAGTAGTGGGCGAATTGGAAGACAATGATGAACATGAATATTTCAAAAAATATGGAATATTTTATAAGAAAATCACATTTTGTGATATTCTTAACTTCTTAACTTCCCAATCATAGCAACGATATCCTTTTGGGGTCTCCCCATATCCGACAAACATACATTTGGCAGATTTTGCATCTAGCTTAGATTGCTCAGACGGAGGTAGAAGAACAAAATATGTACATAAAAAAATTCGAAGTAAGGAGTAGTTTGGTGGATGCCCAAATAGTTTTTTGATTGGTAAAATATGATTCAATACAAGAGTAGGTAACCTATTAATTAGGTACACACTAGTTAAGAAGGCTTTTGCTCAAAAACATTTAGTCATATTTGAATGAAGAAGAAGTGCCCTAGCAGTCTCTTGAATGTGCATGTTCTTTCTTTCTGCAACACTGTTTTGTTGTGGCATATGATGACAACTTTTTTGATGTAAAATTCCTTCTTTAGTCAAGAAATTTATGAATGCTTATGACATATATTCTTCCCCTGAGTCTGTACGTAAAATTTTTGCCCATTTATTAAATTGAGTGACCACCGTTGCATGAAAGCCTTTGAGCACCTGTAGGACTTCAGACTTTCCATGTAAAAAATATATTCAAGAGTATTTGGATCAATCATCAATGAAGGAAACAAAATAATATTTTACAGTTAATAAACCAATGGGCGTGGGTCCCCATACACCACTATGAATTAAATCAAAAGAACAATTGGCCCTAGTCATACTAGGACTAAAAGGTAATTTTGCGGCTTCGCAAAAATACAAACCTCACATTATTTATTTACGACAAACTTAGGATCAATTTTATTCAATAAGGCTCTTGAAGAAAACAATGAAGGAAATTTCAATGTATGAGGATGACCTAAACGATAATGCCAAAGCCTTCAAAGTTTATTTGGAGAATTTATTTCAGAGTTGAAAGGAGCAAAAAAACACTGAGGAGATGTTGAACCAGTTCCAAAGTCCAAGACGAAGAGTTTCCCTTTCTTACGGCCTTTCCCAATCACCTTCCCGATCCACGGGTCCTATATCAAATATCTAAAAGTGGAAAATGAGATAATAAAATTTTGTTTGACCAATTGACCAATATAGCTTAAATTTGTTAAGAGACTAGGGACATAAAAAAATATTAGAAAGAGATAAAGGTGGAGAGTTAGAGGGTGTAATGAGTAATGAATCAACTTTTACTACATGGAGGGATTGACCATTTGCAATATGAATACTCTGAGTGCCTAGCTTGTTTTAAAAATGTCAAGTTACCCATCATATGATTGGAAGCACTGGAATCTAACACCCAAGAAGTTCGAAGATCAGATTTACCAAAACCAAAAGTGCTTGTATGACTTGTTGAAGAAATTTTGGTGTGAGAGGGGGCGACTGACTTTAAGAGGGAACTGATGTTGGTGTAGGCAAAATAGAAGGCAAAGTGAAAGCGTTTGAAGCCATTTTCTGAAGTGGTTGTGATAACAACATAGGCTTTGGGAGGTGGCCTCCTGTTTTGAGAGGCACTTAGCAATTAGATGTCCAGTCTCCTTGTAGTAGTTGCAAATGTTATTCTTCTTGCAATTATTAGCTAAGTGGCCCATCTCTTGACAATTATAACATTGAACTTTGCTCATATCTCGACCTTTCCCTTTACTTGCTAAAGAGCAGAATCTTGGGAAGTATCGCCATGAATTTTAAGCGGCTTTAAGCGAGTTTTTTCAGAAAGTAGTTTAGGAAGAATTTTATCAATCGTGGTTACTTAATTTAGAACTATCGCTCGCACATGCTTAAACTCAGATCGGAGTTTCATTAAAATTTGTCGAGAGCACGATCGTTGCCTAAATTTGTGTACTGTATCTATAGCTCCTGCAGGAATATCAACATCAATCATGTCCATTTCATTCCAAAGTAACGTCTTTGCATAATAAAATTTTTGAATATTTTTGATCCTTGATTCAAAGAGCTTAATTCTTGCTCAAGTTGATATATCATTCATTCATTGAATTGCTGATATATGCGCTTAAGATATAGCCTTTGTTGTGTGCAAAGGGTTCATATTGACATCGATTGAGTTTTCAACCGACACCATTAGATTGAAAGCAATGGAGTTTTCAACTAACTGATAGACAGGAGGCCCACAAGAAATAGTTTTGCCCATTCAGTCTAACAACCAAATTATAAGAATCCATGTGTGCCCAAAAAAACCCAAAAAAAAAAAAAAATATCCCTAGAGAGAGAAAAAGGACCAGTAACAACCATGTACACAATTCTAATAATGATGCCTAATGATTCACGTACTTTAATAAAGCCTTTTAAGGGTCAAGAAGAGGAGCAAAGAGTTAGCAAGGGCTGGTGGTAATGCCAGGAAGGAAAAGCAAAGAGGTACCAATTCTAAGTGGTAGAAAGAGAAGGAGAGTCTTCTTGCTGGAGTCGACTCAAGGAAAAGCAAAGAGAGAGAGAGTACGGAAAAACACAGTAAAGAGAGAAAGACCCCCAAGATTAGAAACGGCAAAGGAGCAGGCAAGTCCCCAAAAACAGAAATCCAAACGTCGAGAAAGAAAGTCCCCTCCAAAAACAGAAGATGCAAAAGTAGAGTAAGAAAGTATGAAAGCACACAATAAGAGAGTGACGACCCAAAAAAAAAAACTGTGCACACCTTAACCTCGATCTGATACCATGATAAATAATGAAAAATATATTTCAATTAATATCTTTAGGGAGGAAATCATATATACTTATACAAGAGTTTGGACGCGTATGTACGTGGTATTGCCAACAAATAGGGATTTGATACAACTACACCAAAGAGATTTGTTACAATTACAAAGAACAAATCTTATCTTATCCTAACCTGTTAGGAGTTATTTGCATAAGACGTTAGGAGTTATCTTATCGAGTCTTATCTTAAACGTATTTTCTTACAAGACCTTGCTCCTTGGGACCATAGGAAGCCGACATGGGTCTATGGCAACCGTGGACTTGGCCATGCATCCAGACCCATGTGGACTATCTCATGTTCGATTTCCAACACTGAGCTATCCCCTCCCCCCATGTTAACTAATGGCTAAAAAACCTTGGTGCAAGACTACTGGCAAGATAGTTTGATGGATTTCTAAGGCCAACTAAGGCAGTGGCTTGGTTTGCTAGACCGTGGATAATTTGACCTGATGGGACCTGGATCTGACCATGTGTAAGAGGTAAGCTAGCCATACACTTAGTTGGGCAA